CGCGCACTGCCTCGAGTACGGAGGCGCGGAGGCGGAGGCGCTCGCGCTGCGCGCGCTCGCGGCGCTCCTGTCCGGCTCGTGCGAGTCGGTGCGCGCCGTCCTCGACAGCGGTCTGGCGCGGCTGCTGCCTCCGCTGCTCGAGGGCCCGAACGCGGCCACGCGCGGGGAGGCGTGCGGCGCCGTCGCCTCGCTCGCGACGGGCGCGCCGTGGGGGGGCGCATGGAGGCGCTGAGATGCACGAGAGGGCGCGCACAGGTGACGGCGAGGTTGCGCGAGAGCTTAGGCGCCCCGTCTCGCATCGAGTGGCTGATGGGCACGCCGCTCGTGTCGCTGGTGGTGCAGCGGCTGACCGTCGACGAGTTCGGCGTCAAGCGGCAGGCGCTCGGCGTGGTTGCCAACGTGCTGCAAGCCTTCCAGGCGGACCCGCGCCCGTCGACGGCAGGGTGGGCCGCGTCGCTGGTGTACGAGCACGGCGCGGTCGCGCCGCTGGTGGCGCTGCTTGACGTGCACGACGCCGACGTGCTGCGCGTTGCCCTCCACGCGAGCGGTGGTGTGCTGGCCGCCGGCGAGCAGCTCGCGCGGGGCTCGCGGGGCGGCGTGTGCAACAACCCGTTCACGCTCCCGTTCGCCGAGGCGCTCGTCGGCCCCTCTCGGCTCCGCTCGGCTCCGCTCGGCTCCTCTCGGCCCCTCTCGGCTCCTCTCGGCTCCTCTCGGCTCCTCTCGGCTCCTCTCGGCTCCTCTCGGCTCCTCTCGGCTCCTCTCGGCTCCTCTCGGCTCCTCTCGGCTCCTCTCGGCTCCTCTCGGCCCCTCTCGGCTGCTCTCGGCTGCTCTCGGCTCCTCTCGGCCGCTCTCGGCTCCTCTCGGCTGCTCTCGGCCCCTCTCGGCTGCTCTCGGCTCCGCTCGGCCCCTCTCGGCCCCTCTCGGCTCCTCTCGGCTCCTCTCGGCTCCTCTCGGCTCCTCTCGGCTCCTCTCGGCTCCCCTCGTTTCCTCTCGGCTCACCTCGGCTCACCTCGGCTTACCTAAGCCCACCTCGGCTCACCTCTGCTCCTCCGTGCTCCGCTCCGCTGCAGGCGTTTGGCGTCGAGAAGCTCGAGGAGCTGCAGCAGCACCCAAACCCGGCGGTGGGTCGACGCGCGGCGGCGCTGCTCGACCGGTACTTTGGCGGGTGTTTTAACCCATCCCCTACCCCCACGGTACCGAACCCATAGGCGCTGCTCGACCGGTACTTTGGCGGCGTCGGAGACGCGATGGACGCGTCCGAAGACGCCGCGGCGGCGGACGGCTGCGCCTTCACGGGCGGCGGCGAGGGGCGCGAGCCCCGCGCCGTCTACGTCTTTTGAGGCTCCGGCTCGGGTCGCGGGGAGGCTCGGTGCACCCTACTTTTTGTACGACCTTCGTACCGGCTGCATGGTTCTGTCTCGGCCCCCACGAGAGTGGGCGTGCGCGTACAGTGTTTGTCGAAAACGCAGGCTGTCGCGAGAATGAGATACCATGAGCGAGCTATATCATCCTGCTCGGCTCCAGCCAGTAGACAAGTCTTGTCATCAACAGAGTAGAAGGATCTGACCTCGGGGCCGATGTGACCAAGCGCTGGTAGCGTGGTTTTACCTCACACCCATGGTCTCACACTGTGCCGCCACCGTAACGCCGCACCGACGAGTGCGTTGGACTTTTCACTCCGGACAAAGACGGCGGCACGCACACGAGCTGCGGCCGTGCCGCCGTCATAGCGGCGAGGCGCGGGACCGTCTGTGGCGAGGTGGGTCGCGTCCCTCGATTTCCTCAACTCACGGTCCCCCTTTTACTTGCAACTTCGGCGGTCCTTGTAACCGCAGCGAAACTTGGGAGCATCGCCCTCGTGAGCACTGTCCGTGTGCGATTTGTGCGCGCTCTACACCACCACTGGGGAACTGTACGAGCACCTTTGCTCTTTGGTGCCAGAGCTCAGGAACATCTCGCCGGACGAGCCTACTCGCGCGACGGTGGGCTCCGCCCGAGTTCAGATGACGTTGCAGCCCAGCCCTCGCCCCCCCTCGGTTCCGCCTCCCGTTCCCGCTGCCATACTGGGTTCCGGCCAGCGAGTTTCTCGCCGACAGCGCTTTTGTGGCATGGCTCCTCCTGGACTCCGCTTTGGGTGGAACCGCCGTCTTCGAGTACCGGAGCGGATGGCAACAGGGCCCTGAGCCTGAACCTCGCGGCACGGTATCCACCTGGAGCCCTGCCTACTCGCCGCCGTCGAGCCCTTCCTACTCGCCGTCGTCGCGTGGCAGTAGCCGGCCTCCCTCGCCTATCGTCCACCGCAGCAGCGACCGCGACAACCCCGCGGCGTCACTCCTCTCGCCATCCGCTCCGTCGCTTGCCTCTCCGTCCGTCGCCTCGCCATCGGCTTCGCCGCTCGCCGCTCCGTCCGTCGCGCCGTCTACTTGCCAGCTTGCTGATTCACGCGACCCGCCACCCGAGGCTGGTATCGCGGCCATCTCCGCTGCCGCTGCAACGTCGCTCACCGCGCCGGACGCTGCCTCCGCTCCACTCCGTTCTCGCTCGAGCTCCTCGCCATCGGCTCCGCCGCTCGCCGCTCCGTCCGGTCTCGACTCCTCCAGCCCCTGCGACTCCCAGCCAAGCAAGCGACGTCGCCTGACATGAGACTGCGAGGTGCTCCCAGATCAACCACAGCTACTACGCAGTGCCACATTCTCCAGCTACTACTCAGGGCCGCGCCCCCTCCCCGGGGGAATGGTCAATTTTTGTCGCAGGAGGTGAGGCACGAGGACTCTCACGAGGACCAGTAGCCTGACCTGTATCGAGAAGCTTCACCTAGTATTCTCCCCTCCCCACCCCAGAGTGATAAATAGTCCACCGTATTCCCATATCCCTGTATTCCCACACCCAAACAGTGGCACGTCACAACTCCCCAACTGTGCAAGTTTGGCACGTCATAGTCTCTGACTGCTTTCGCTGGGCGGCACGCGCTGCGAGACAGTCGACCTCTTTGTTGTGGTGTCACAACTCGGTGCATAATTGCGCCACTTCCCCACCGGTACATAATTGTGCCTTCGTACTTTGAATACGCTCTACAAATATGTCAGCCTCGGATAAGGAGGCCCGCGGTGTCGCGGGCATCCTATCACCCGCGACCAAACCGCGGGACCGCGTACGACTCGACATCCACTTGCTGGACACCGACTCTTCGGGTTCAGATGCCGATCTCTCGAGCACGAGCGAGAGAAGAGGGACGCCTCGAGCAATGCCTCGTCCACAAAGATGTACGGGTACCTCCTGCCGTTGGAGTTCGTGATGACCGAAAGGGCACCCTCAAAGGTGCGAGCCTCGAAGTGAGTGCCCGCTCGGAGCCCAATGCCCTCCAGTTTAACCCTGGTAGGTGGATTGTCCAAAATACGTCAGCCTCGCACGCCTAGCGCTAGGTCTGACACCCGACCGCCCCCCCCTCCCTAATAGTAGCCGGTAGGAGCACATTTTGGCCGGCTAATGTTAGGGAGGGGAGGCAACAGCATATTTTCAAGTTTAAGAAATATTCTGTCTAAAACCGCGAGCTACGAGTACGAGTGTCCGCCCTGCAAACTTGTACACCCGAGTTTGGCGCTTTCGGGCTGAGAGTCAACTGCCATGGGCCCCGACCAGTACGGGCTGGCTCGCTTTGCTGTCGGTATCTGCGTTTGTCGTGCCACGTGTCCGCAGGCCGCGCTCCGGCGAGCCCGACGCCACAATGCAGGCTTCCGGCGGAGAAATGGCGCAGCTGTCTGTGCGGTCGCACTCGGAGTTCGTCGCGCTGCCGCCCAAAATCAAAGAACTGATCTACAAGCAGATGCCCGAGTGGTGCCTCTCGCGATGGCGCTCAATCTCAACGACGACGCGGGACACCGTGGCCGCCGGCAGTGTGCGCTTCGCCCCGCAGTGGTTCGTGGCGGGGTGGGGCCCCACCAGCCCTCGCGGCAGCTTCCCCTCGCTGCCGGATGTTGCAGAGCATCTGTCGCAGGTGCTGCGCCTGCTGTGCCTCCTGTCACGCTCTCATTGCACCACTGACCAGTCTCGGGTGTCGTAGGTGGATAACGCCGGACGCTGTGCCGGAAACTGTGGCTTCGCCCTACGTACCCCGACGCGATGGGCAGGAGCGCTCATTTGGGCAGTTCGCGTTCATGTAGAGAGCTCAGGGTGCGGAGGCAAATGTTGCATATACGCATGAAAGGCAAGGTAAGCTTCTCCACACACACAAGATGGTGGGGCAAGGGGGCGGGCAACCCTCGCGCGACTCAGGTCCTGCAAAACGGGCCCTTGTGCCCCGCTCGCTCGACCCTTTTGCCGCGAGAGGGCGCCGGCCGTGTGTACAGTCGTAAGAGGCGGCTGGCGCTCTGGAGGCGACATTTGGTGGGGTGAGGAGCTAGGACCGCTACTGGCGGCGTGAAAGGGCCTCTCTCGGCTGCGTGCGCCGCCCATCGGCACGCGGGTGCGCAGACACCGCGACTCTGCCCCGCTCGCTCGACCCTTTTGCCGCGAGAGGGCGCCGGCCGTGTGTACAGTCGTAAGAGGCGGCTGGCGCTCTGGAGGCGGCATTTGGTGGGGTGAGGAGCGAGGACCGCTACTGGCGGCGTGAAAGGGCCTCTCTCGGCTGCGTGCGCCGCCCATCGGCACGCGGGTGCGCAGACACCGCTCTGCCCGCTCGCTCGACCCTTTTGCTGCGAGAGGGCGCCGGCCGTGTGTACTGTCATAAGAGGCGGCTGGCGCTCTGGAGGCGGCATTTGGTGGGGTGAGGAGCGAGGACCGCTACTGGCGGCGTGAAAGGGCCTCTCTCGGCTGCGTGTGCCGCCCATCGGCACGCGGGTGCGCAGACATCGCGACTGCCCGCTCGCTCGACCCTTTTGCCGCGAGAGGGCGCCGGCGGGCCGCGCGTAAGAGGTGGCTGGCGCTCTGAGGCGGCATTTGGTGAGGGGTGCGTGCGGGGCTGAGTCTTACTCGTCGGCGCTGGGCCAGATCCACGGATGAATAGCGAGCACACAGGTTGGCGCCCAGCCCCACTTAGCCATCCGAAGTCGCTTGAGGTTCGCTCGACACGCTAGCGGAGCGTCGGTTGGCGAGGAGGCTAGTGGTGGCCTCAGTCCCCTAGAGGGGCTGAATAGGTCGGCGCGCTCCCTCCTTCCCAAGCCGCGCCGGCCGTTGCGCGCGCCGCTTCGGCGTCCGGCCAGAATCCAGGGCTGCGGCTGGAAGAGCGACGCGAGCCGAGCCATTCAGCCCTACCGTCTCGTACACGCACATGCCACGCACTTCTTCACGTCGCGACGCCGCGTCGACTCGTGCAAATCCCAATTGAATTCAACCCCTTCCGCGCGGGACAGACGGCGACAATGACCAACCCGCCCTCTTCTGCCTCTGGCGCGTGGACCACCGTCGGCTGCACGCCGACGGTGAGGAAGAACAACACCACGGGCCGGTGGTACATCGAGTGCCTCTACCGCAAGTCGAAGTAGTCGAAGACGCACTACAAGATGTCGCTCAACACTCTACGCACCAGAGGCTGGGTCACCCGCTCCACGACCCTCCCGTTGTGGGTCGTAGGGTATTGCTATAACTTGTGCTTGCGCGAGTACGCACATTGGCGGGCGCACGACGGGTCGACGACGATCAGAGCGCGCCTGTGAACAGAACTCAAAGGAGCGCTGCATGGTCTCCGATGGACGAGATGGTGTATAGTGCCGGGATCTTTGAGCGGGACGCAAAAGAGATGGCGACTCTTGTTGCCGCGAGCGAGAGAGGAGGAGAGAGAGACGCCGCCGCGCTGGGTGTTGATCAGAGTACGGATAACCCTCGCACACCACCACGACTCGCACATAAACCACGACTCCGGGGCGGAGCGAGATCGCGTGGCGGTGGTGTGTATCGCGTATCAAAATAAACATTACGTGCCTACGCGGCTGCGGCGCGCGCGGCGAGCACCGTGACCGTGGCGTCCTCGCCAAACACTTCGCTCGGCCGGCGGCCGTCGCGAATCTCACACAACGGCAAGACAAGCGCGCAGGCGGCGCGCGGGCGGCTCGCGCAGGCGGCACCCGCAAGGCGCGGCGCACGGGAGGGTGGCGGGCCGAGAGGTGCGGCACCGCGTGCTCGGGCGGCTACGGCGGGGCCGGCGCCTGCAGCGGCGGCAGCCATCGCGCCGCGCGAAGGCGCCGGCCGAGGCAGCCCTTTCGCGGGCGCCGCCGCCGCGAGCTGCGCTCGGAGCTGCCGGATCTCCTCGAGCAGCGCAGCCTCCTTGCCGGCCGAGAGGGGCTCCTCGTGCGCCGCAGCGCCTGCAATGCCACGCTGCTTGTGCTGCTCGACGCCCATCTCGAGCGCTGCGTCCGGGACGTCGAGCGCGGTGGCCGCCGAGTCAGAGGCCGGCGTCGTTGCAGCAGCAGCCGCTGCCTCTTGTGCCCGCTCGGCGATGGCGGCCGCCTTTTTGCGCGCGCGCCGGGCCTGCTGATCGCGAGTGCGGTCGCGTTTGCCGCGCTCGCGATCGTCTTTGCGCGGCAGACGCTTCTTCTGCTCGTACCTGCGCCAGGCAGCCTTCTTGGCCTCGCTGGCCATGGAAATGATGCCCCGCCGAGACCGTTGAAGCCCCACCCGACGCACCGTCTGCCGGGTTTGTGTACAGTTTGGCACCTTTGGGTGCCGGCCCACGTTCTTCTAAAACACCTGAATATTTCTTAAACTTGAAAATATGCTGTTAGGCCGAAAAACGCATACTTTTGTCCACCTACCAGGGTTAATCAGCTGGACCGAATTTTACCAAGTTGGACGCCGTTGGACGTATCCAGTGTTTAGTGTCTACGTACGTGCAGCGACGGGCGGCTGCGCGATAGCTGCTTTGTCGGTCCCGTGAGCCAAGTCAGCGTCGGGCTGGCTACATGTTCGCTCGCCGTGGTCACAAGCCATCGAGGAAGCCACCCTACCAGGGCCACAATCGCGTTGCGGATCAGGTTTGTGACCCTGGCGGTGGCGAGCCTTTGGCGCACAGCGTAAGCATGCCAGCACGACTCGCATCAGGGCTGCACCCGTCGCCGAGCACCTCGTGCACTCTACATGGATCGGGTGATGCCACGAGCCCGCTGCGCGGCTGCACCGAGTGGCTCTCTGTGGCAGGGAATGCACTTTTATGCCACATGATGGCGTTGCCTCGCAGCATGCCGAGTGGGCCTTCTGTCTCTGAGGAAGAACCGAAATGCGAATTCGCGCCTTGCCGATCTCCGAGTGGTCAACCGGAGAGGTCTGTGGACACGTGTGCAAGCGAGGCAGCCGCAATCGGCGCATCTCTGGCATCTGCGTGGTGAGCACCCTGGCGGTATGCGTGCGCAGCAGCCTCAGCGCAGGGCCAGATGACGTGTCCGGTCGGAGGTGGAGCGCTACCAACGGCTCGAGAGGTTCCTCGCGGGTCGAATTCCGTCCACGCGCACGCGTCGGGGACCCGCTCAGCAGCACCGAGGGGTATCTGTCGCGTCACAGCTATCGTGTGCTGCAGCATCCGGCAAACCAGTGCCGGCTACTGGCCACCATCGATACACGGAGAACCGCTCGCACGAGTCAGCCCAGAGGCGATCGATGGGCGGGAGAGGCCTCTGGCACAGACATACAGCTCGGGCCCGACAGACGGCGCGAGGGGGCGATCTCGCGCGGGTCCAACTTTGGCCTGTGTGAGGGCGTGAACAGTAGGCCCCATGGCGCTCGATCCGCCCACGGCTGCTCACGGGATGAGGGCGAGCGCCGCACGAAGCCCAGCACCACCCCTCAGCAGAGCTGGCGAGAATCCTGGCGGATTCGCGCTACCCATTCTCACCCGGAACGAGGACGTCGAAGCGGATCACCTCAACGTGCGCCGCCTCGCGCGCAAAGTCGCGCGCGGCAGCGTTGACCGCACGGCCTACTCGCCCAAGTACTCGCTCTCTTTTATGTCCCACCATGCAGAGCGCATCTCTCTCTCTGTTGTGCGAGGCGTGAACCGCGCCATTCGCTCTCACCTGGCAACCCTGTCTGCACGTCTCGCGCGCGCGTGAACAGGGCTCCAGGCCCCAAATTACGTGTGAGTGTTAGAGTTGTTTGGTATTGCTAAAAATCTCTCTCTCTCACACACACACACACACACACACACACACACACACACACACACACACACCACGCACGCACGCACGCACGCAAACGCACAAGCACGCGCACGGACACCCCTCCCTCGGGTGATCGCCGTGAGAGAAAGCGAAAAGGGTAAAACATTCTCGTTTCCGAAAAACGCGCACACACCTTACCTCCTGCTCGACCGAGTTTGCGATGAGAAGTGACCCGAGCCGCCGGGTGCCCCGCAGCGGCCTCGCTGGACCAGAAGAACCGGTCCGCGAGTGCTCCGCAGCAGCCTCGCTGAGCCAGAACGTCGGCTCGCGAGGTGGGGTGCTAGTATGAGCCCGATCCGTCGTAGAGTTCTTGCGCTTCGGCGGTTAGTGGTGCACTAACCTCCGAGAAACCCTTCGGGTCGCTCCTCATCGCAAACCCTGTCAGCAGAGTCTCCTACGGGAATGTACGTAAGAGCTACATACACTGAAAAAAGAAGTGCATCGAGCGACCCCAGAGGGGAGCAAGATGCTCACATCGATCAACATTGACGACAAGGCTCCGGCCAAGCCACAGCTGGCTCGCATCCGCTCTTACACGATCAGACGGCAGAGCTCACATCACTGGACGCCGCCAGAGCTGTACTACAGCGGGCCACACGATGCGGCGACGCGCAACGGCTTCTTGCGCAAGGTGTACGGTATAGTGTGCGCACAAGTGCTATTCACGACAGCGGTGATGCACGCTATGATGAGGGATGGTATGGCGCGCGTGGCGGCCACGGCAGTTTCCGGCGTATGGGAGGACCGATCCTGCAGCCCACACATCTTGTGGCCAGGACATCTTACCTGCACGAGTGTTGCCATCGAACCGTTCGTGCCGTTGTTGATGCCAGCTTTTGCCGTGTCGCTCTTGCTGACCTGCTGCCTGGACGGCTTCAAGAATACATACCCGCACAACTACCTTTTGCTGGCCGGCTTTACGCTCGTCGAGGGCTTCACCGTCAGTTTCGTCTGCGTTGCGCTCGGCATTGAGAGGCCCGAGGTGGTGAACCAGACCTTCACGCTGACCGCCGCCCTCTTCGTCGGCCTCACCGCCTTCACGATGCAGTCGCGCATAAGATTCAACTTTCTTGGCGGCTTCTTGCTCTCATCGCTCCTCCTCCTCCTCGCGTGGGCAACGATCAACGCCGCCCTCGGCCTCCCCTTTGCCTCCACCGCCTTCTCCCTGCTCGGTGCCCTCCTCTTCTCGCTCTACGTAGTCTACGACACCTCCATGATCTGCCACCGGCTTGGCTACGACGACTGTGTTGTCGCCGCCATCGAGCTCCACCTCGGCGTGGTCAACCTGTTTCTGTTCCATATGCGCCTGCTCTCCGACGATTCTCTCTCGAGTCTCTCTGTAGGTTGAAAGGTGAGGGAGAGGGCTGGGGTGGCGTGGTAGGGGACTGGACATGATGGTGTGCCGGTGTGTGTGCTAGTCTGCGCCAGTCCGCGCCCTTGGTGCTCTACGTCACTTTTTTTGAGTAGATAGTGCCGAGCTGGCCTTGACAGCATTTTTCGCGCGGTTTTTGGTGAGTTTTGCACCACAGACTTTTTGCAACAAGTCTCTTAGTACCGAAAGTTTGAGATTACACAGTACGGCTCTATACAGATTGAGAGAGACGTACAGATTACAACAATCCCCTTAATAAGGCTAATACGCGCTGCACATTGCAGCTGCGCCCGACATGGGACATGCACGATCATGCACATGCGACATGGCTCGTGCTCCATCTAGGGACGCAAAACCGCGGGGCGTGGTCGACCATGCGGTGACGTGCAGGGAACCTCTGGCTTCTCTTCGTTCGGCCTAAGTTGCTCGTGCACGAAGCCGCGTAAAGCGGGTCGTGGGGGTCGCGACGCGTGCGCGCGGAAGACGGCGCGCGCGCGTGGCGCCCCGTTCCCGATCGATTCCGCTACTTCACGCGATCGCGATCTCGGGCGCTCCCGCCGCGGGCGAGGCCGCGGGTTTCGCCACGGCCAGCGAGACGACGCCCAGGATGAGAGCGATGAGCTGGAAGCCGAAGCTGGAGACGCACGCGCCAAAGCCCGGGCCGTAGCCCCGAGCAACGCCGCAGGCAGCAAAAGTGCCGGCGGGAGCGGTCGAGCAGTGGGCCTCGTCTATAAGGTTCTTTCAAGGCGGCCGAGGAGGGCGGTGAGGCCGGCGCCGAAAGGCGGCGGCCAGCTTCCACTTGCTCGTGTCGGGCCGAGCGGGCGCACCGAGCAGGCTCGCCTCGTACATCGTTGGTCCGCGAGCTTCGTCTCGTCGGTGAAGCCGGCGACGCGGCCACGCGGGGGCCCCTCTCTCTGCGCCGGGGAGGCGTTGTTGGAGGCTAGGACGCAAGCGTCCGTCGCCCTTTTCAAACTCGGGGCCCACTCCGCTACGCTCCGACCCGAATTTGGAGGGCCTGAAAGTTTAAGGTGTTGCTGCGCAAACAAAAGGGGTCGGACACAGGGCGCAGCTCATGCTAAGAGCTCGAAGGGGAGCTAGAGAGAACGACTACCCTGTCCCGTTATTGCGTACACCAACACCACAAAAGCTCTCTCTCTCCTGTCCTCACTCAGAGCACAGAGGGGGGTCACCTAGAAGGCGGAGGTCATCATGCTTGGCGTGTGCTTTTTCTTGTGCCAACCTTTTAAATCCTTCGAACCGCCCCGGCGCCTTGAGTCGCGCCTGGTCTCTTGAGAGATTTTTAGCAATACCTTAAACAGACAGAGGTTACAGGCGCGGGGTAAGATCGTTCGTTCAATACCAAACAACTCTAACACTCACGGTGGTTTGTCTCTTTCTTGTGGAATCGCGTGCGTGTGTGTGAGTGAGTATTCTTGACACACACACACACACTCACACACACACACACCCCTCTTGCCAGTCAGCCCACGTCCTTTTCTTCCTGGCGCTCGTTCAACTGGCTGCCCAGGGCCCACACACCACCGCCGCCGCCGCCGCGCCTCCCCTGCTGCCGTTCCACCGCCGACTCGCCCTCTCCTTCCACCCCGCAGGATTTGCGGCGAGCCCGATCGAGAGACGGACGAACCACGATGGCAGAGCTCCAGCCTCCGGACAGCGAGATGCCGCGGAGGCGCCGCGCCTCGGCCGCCTCACCCCGTCGCCGCCGCCCGGGCCCGACCGCTCCGCCCGCCCCGCCCGCGCAGGAAGCTCAGCTTCTCTGACAGCGACGGCCTCAGCACCTCGACGAGCGCTGCGCCCGAGCGGATGCAGGCCTTCGTGCGGCTGCGGCCGCTGAGCGGGAAGGAGGCGCGCGCGACGATCGCGACGACGGAGACGGACTGCACCATCTCGCTCAACAAGCCGTCGGCGCAGGGCTACGGCACCATCGAGGAGCACTCCTTCTCCTTTGACGGCGTCTTTGGCCCGGACGCGTCGCAGCCAGAGGTGTACGAGGCGGTGATGCGGCCGCAGGTGCAGGCGCTGCTGGAGGGGCGCGACACGCTCACCTTTGCGTACGGCATCACCAACGCGGGCAAGACGTACACCGTGCAGGGCGGCGCCGCCCCCGAGCAGCGCGGCGTGCTTCCGCGCGCGCTCTGCTCCATCTTTGGCGCGCGCGACAGCTCCGAGACACCTCCGAGACACCTCCGAGACACCTCCGAGACGCCTCCAGTCCGGCCTCCCCACCGCGCGCCTCGTCGCGCGCACGCGCGCCGGCGCCGCCGCACGCCCGCCGTCGTGCCCGCCGTCGTGCCCGCCGCTTGCCCGCCGCTTGCCCGCGCCGCGACGTCTCCGCGACGTGTCCGCGTCGTGTCCGCAGGCGCCCTCGACGCACTGCGCGCGGGGGGAGAGGCGGCGGCGGGGTCGAGGCTGGACCCGAGCTGCTCGTACAAGGTGGCGGCCTCCTTCCTCGAGATCTACGGCGCCGAGGCGCGTGCCGCTGCAGATGCCGACACCCGTCCCTCTCTCTCCCGAGTTCGCCACCCGCGTCTCTCCGGTTCACGGCCCACACAAAAACACAGCCCCGGACCCAAGACGCACGAGCACAGACAGTCGAGAAGGGAGAGAGACAGCGACGGCAGTCAGAAGTCAGCGCTGGGTACCAGGAAGGCGAATGCGAGGACAGCCTCTAGTGCGAGCTCGAGTTAGTGAGCTCATACGCACTATCGGTTCACGGTTCACGGGCTGCAGCTGTGCTCCGTTGTCGTGCTAGCCCTTGTCTCCACCGAGTATGCACGGCAGGAGGTGTCTCACTCCCCGACACCCCCGCCCCCCCGTGGTGTGCTCAGGCGCACGACCTCCTCGCACCCGCAGAGAAGGTTGGCAGCTGTAGATGCGGAGAACAAGCCCCCCCGCTCCCGCCACACTCCCGCTAAAGAAGCTCTGCGGCTACGCCAGGGGGAGTGGAACCCATGAGACGGAGGGGTGTGCACACAGGGGTGGGGGGGTACACGAGGCTGAGCTCACCGCCCGTCCGCTGAACTCTTCGCCCTCGCCACTCTCTCCAGGCGGGCAGCTGGTGGCAGGGCATCCGCGGGCGCGGCCCTGTGCCGCTCCGCATCAAGGAGGGGGGCGGCAAGGTGGCGCCCGCGCCCGCTCTCTCTCGCTCTTCCCCGCTCCCGCCCTCTCCCTCCAACCCCCCGCCGTCCTCTCCCTTCTCAACCCCCCCCA